AAGCAAAATTAAAGTCAACTATAATAAAATTTTATCGATTATTCGATAATAATTCGTATTTCACAGTCGATCCTGTTTTCCGATTCCATTTTTCTAATAACTTCAATATTAAGTACGGTATTCGAAATAAACGGCATAAACATTATTTCCAAATAACATGAATCTGTATTCAGGATCACTTTCATATAAAGTATTGGGGCAGGCTGGGATGATGGGGTGTACCGTAAACTTCTGTGATCGATCCACTTATTATGTGTTTGAACAGACAATCGGTTGGTTCAGTGATAATATGAAGTAGAATAACCGTTTCACAAACACTTAGAATACATGTAGCATGAAAATATAACTTGACAGGTTCTTGTCTGTTGAACAAAGTTGCTAATAGATGTCCCGGAAGTGACGCCAGTCCACGAAAGGACATAGAGATACTAAGTCTAATGTGGAAAGTGATGCGAGAAAGATGCTTGCTGACAATATTAGCATTTCTCTGGCGTGAACACAATTAAACACATCAAGTTTCAATAAAATTTTATTAGATCTATACATATAATATAGGTGCAAAACACGTGAAGAAAGCCTTGGAGGTGTGTGAGATGTTACAATCTGTTATCTGAAAAACAATTGTTACTTGCAACATCTGTTTCGTTCGTCATCATCATCATTTTCCATTATATTTTCCCCATTTTTAAAGTATCAAAGGCTGGACAGTTGTTAAGGTTTTAATGTTACCGGAGTATAAAATTTCTTCCTTCTACTTTTTATTACTTGAACAAGATATTTGACATTAATTCGTGTAGGTTTATGTGAAAAAAAAGAAGTAGAACATTTTAATTCATAACAAAACCTTATTGCCATATTTATTTATTTTATGTTTCATGCTCCTTTATTATAGGATATGTATGATCTAGGAATAAAACATCCTTTTTCATTATATAATGCAATTTTAGTGTAAAATAATACATTCGAACTGATAAAATTACACTTCATTTTAAATAACTTTTTTGAGAAGACCATTGACAACATACTGATTTTACTCGTGAAATAGATTACGGTATAAACCAGCGTTGGAATTTGTTTACATTGACATATTACACAAAACTGAAAGTTCTTTCAAAATCAATATCATATCTACATTTAGAAATACACTACACAACTGTACTGATTTTATCTTTATTTTAAATTAAAGAAATTAATGTGCAGTATAAGTTAACCTTTATGACTTTAGCTTTGTTATATAGTGGTGGTGCTGGTAGTTTACGGCAGTCAGACACATTGAATTTACGAGAGCACAATCGAGTCACCGCGTCGTTCCTGGACATGCTGTCAATCAGTTTACCAGTACAAGAGCCTTCATATCCACAAAAACAAATAACTTTTGTACATGGCAGACCAGAGATGCAGTGCTTATAAACGTAGAATGAATAAATGATCAATCATAACGAAAGTGACATGCACCGTCGGGGAATCAAACCCGGGTCGCCTGATTCACAGTCCAACACTCTATCTGTTGAGCTTACTGGACGGTTTTACCTGGTTATATAGGCCTCAGGTACCATGTCAGCATGATGAAAACATGTTGTGTTTTTAAATTGAATTACAACGTCTGGAATTAGGTTAAAGTATGTCTTGAGATATGTTCAGTTTATATATTGTTGTTTTGTGTACAACATTGTTGTATGATATGTAAAAGAGGAACATGGTAATTTTTACGATGTTTTCGATGAAAAAAAGGCTAATTCAGTGCAATTTAACTGTGCTTTCTTAATTGTACTATATTGTACCAGTCTACTTATAACATTTTTAGCATTGTTATAAGCCTTCAATTCTTTCAATTTCGATTGAACATGTGCTACTAGATGTGTGGGAATAGAGCAATTAATTATAAGAAGTTACCTGTATGGTCAAGGTATATAATACATTTACGATGGACAATTGTATTGATATGCCTGTCTCTGTAAATAATGTGGACTTTACTAACTCGACATAATCATTTAATTCTCTTTTATGTCACTTGATAACATCACTTTTTTTGTAAATACAAGGCATCTCAAGCATACTGAGTATTACATAAACATAAGAATTCACGTTATTTTATTAGTTATTTTATCAATACAACTTTAGGTTTAAATGTATATGCTCCTTTTGAAATAAACAAGGATGATAACAAAATAATGAAGTAATTTATTATTCTTTAGTGTAATGGAACAAATTCAAAACATCCGCCATTCTGGTCCTTTCTTTAAATAATGTGTTCGAGTTTTGAGAAAAATGAATATTAAGAAACAGCGTACTAACATTATATCCTTCATGCTTTACAATTGCTCTAAATATTCAATATGTCAGAGTGCTTTTGCAATTCATACATGTCATACATCCACAAACTCACCTCTTCAATCATAGGTTACAAGATCCTTTAATTTTACACAGATAATAATGTATTACTAATTGATATACTCCTTTCTAGACTAAGTTGATGTTTACGCAAGATGAAAATAACGTTCAGATAGACTTTTAATAAACCTACTTACGCAATGGATATCAATAAAGATAAATCGATGATGTTATCGAACCAAATCAAATTTGCAATGATTAATAATATCATACTAAAAACGTGCTACTGTTATAAAGGTACAAATAAATTTAAATGTAATAAAGTAATACATGTTAAACTGGTAATAAAACCGAAAGTTTCTTTATATTATGTGTGAAAATTAAAGGTACACGTTGATCAAAATTTATTAAATTAATCTAATTAATGAAATGAAATTATTAATCAATAAATAGTAATTAATTTATTATTAATAAACGTTCAAGGATATTATTTTGTGGAAAATTAAAAGCATAAACATAACATCAACTACACTTGTAGTAGTCTGTAAAATGTGGCATTTGGAACATCTCGCCGATTACCGATCATCTTATCGGAAATAAAACAAATCGAATGTAGTTCTTACACGTGTGTTTGATACAAAAAGAAATCAACAGAAAAAAACACTATAGAAGGTTAAATATCCATAAATGATATTTAACATTTTACTGCAAGTAGCAAGTATATCAGGTTTATTTTCAGTTTTTTCGAGTTGTTCCATGTCGTTCACATTGAATTCTTTTGGGGGAACTTTACTGTTTTTGTATCGCTGATCAGGAAATACAATGCTGACATTCAATATCTTCCCGACAATCCTAACATCTAAAATTAGTAACTGCATTTTTAAAACAGCTTAAAACTAGCGATGTAAACGAAAGAAATATTTTCATTTTGTTACAAGAATCCGACGAATTATAACGCATTCGAAGTTTAAAAGTAGCTTTGGCTTATAGAATTGGCAATAAATGCACAATCACAAATGACGCGGATGAATATCATTTTAATCAATGAAGATTGCTCGGTTATTTACGTAAAGCTTCGGATAATTGCGATTAAACGCCGCCTAAATGAACAGAAGAAGAAAAAGAACATTTGATATTTAGACTTTCTGAAAAATAAGGTAAGGATGTTGACTCTAGAACAGGGACGAATTTAGGGCAGTCGACGATCGATAATCAATTTCTACCATAAGTTAGGGCACCCAATAATAAATCCACGTAAACAAATCGCTATTGTTTAGCGATGCCGATTAACGAACGCTTCAGTGCGTATTAAACAAATAAATCTGACTGTCGAGTAGTGAAATATACATGTCGGACTGTTTGGGCTGAATTATTTACATCAGTGTTAAACAATAGGTTTACCGTGAACAAAATATCTCAAAATTAAAATGGAAATGCTAAATTTAAAATGATTTGATTTGTTTCAGACGTGTTTATAACTTCACCGTGGTCTAGGGATAAGACGCTCGTGTAAGGCATGAGAGGTGTAGGTTTAAATTCCCAGTCAAGGCAAATAACATTTTATTTTTCTAAGTGTCTTTTTAGCGATTTTAACATTCTTTCTTAAGGAATAAGCCATGATATGCAAGGATAATATGTGGCTGTCAAAAACTGTATATAAATGATTTCATAATGCAAGTATGCAAAATTTCGTGTGTATCAAACGCAAACTCTTATAGCAAAAAATCTAGACGCATTCGTTGCAACACGTCATGCAAGATGAATTATAGTATATCAAAATAAACTTATACAGGAAAATACATACAAATATACATTACGAATCAGAAAATACCACAGAGCTTGCAGCCCTATGATTAGGTTAAATATTTACCTTCAATCGATTCCGCGTTAGAGCTTTATAATAATCTCATTATTATGACTAGTTAAAGAAATGTGTTTTTTGGTAGAAATTGATAGAGAACATTTCGTTATAGAATATATCGTTATAAAATCGTATCATCATTTCAAAGATTTACACCATGGAACACGCCCGAGTTTAGGAGGCATTTTCCTTTAACAGGTGTTAAGTCCTGGATTTATAACCTGGTAACATCTGTTAAAGTCATATTAGTTTTTAGATTACATTCAGGTCTACTTCTGGTATCTTATACATATGCTGTTAGGATGATGGGCATACTAAAATTTACGATAAAATAGTGCACACTCATTTTTTTGCACTTTTGAGAAAGTCATGAGATGTTGCACTTCTATTCGTTTCTTACATTTTATTATGTTTCAAGTACGTTTTCCAACATCAAATGTGAACATTTTAGCTAACAATCTACAAACAATATTAACTGACAAGACAAAACTGTCTTCATGATAGTTGCAAATTTTTAAAAACAATTATATGGTTACAATTCAAAAGGTCGCCTTACATCGCAACATTTAAGAAACATATTGCTGACTCGGTTTAATTCAACCTATCTGTGCACTCTAATACCTCATGAGTGCTAATGTTCCCGCCGCCTAGGCACATGTTTAAGTGGACATTTTACTACTGTCTTAAAAACGACATGTTTTTTAAAATGACTATCTTATAAATATAACGATAATATAAAGATAACAAATAAGGTGCAAAGACATATGGCATTTGCTCATGATAAACAGTAAGTAGGAAAATCGCGCCAGAAAAACTCTTGTGACTGCGTGCATTTCCGAACAGTGCGGGTCACTCGAACACAAACGGTGTCTATTTCCGAACATGACGGGCTTTTTAAAAATAACTAGAATCTAATTTATCTAATTTCGTTAAATCTAAACAATTTAAACAAGATAATTCATTCAATATCTTTAAACATAATTATAACAAAAATATTTAATTGTCTTAAACACAAACGATGACTCGGAGTATGGATGTGACCAAACACAACCAGAGACGATATGTATCTATCAAGTTCACCGGTTTCGATCTCGTGCAACTCTTTTTCAGCAGTACAGACACTCAAATGGGAAATTTGCGATGTCTTCCTCGTCCATTCCACTGAAATCTATGTCTGTGCATTTCCTGTGGAATAAACGAGGGCAGTTGTCACACGAGATCCATACCAGCGGGTTATCGTCATTGTAAAGTTCTCCCCACTTGAAACATTTCATTCTGTCAATGTCACATTCGTATTCCGAGTCGTCATTCGGTTGAAAATCAGACCCCGAATCGGAGCTGCTAGATACGTCATTTCTTTTCCGTTTTGCTAAATGTTGATTTACTTTTTCTGCTAGTGCCTTTCTTTTTAGTTTTTCTGCTTTCTCAATTTCTCTTTGCCGCTTTTTTTCCTCCCTTTCTTTTTGTTTCCTTTGTTTTTCCTCATCTCTCTCTTTGCGTTTTCGTTCACGTTCTAGTTTTCTTTCTTGCTTTTCGCGTTCATTTTGCTCTTTAAGTGCTTTCTTTTCTAGCATTATCTTTCTAAATGCCTCACCAGTAACTGCCTTCGGCAACTTAATTTTTTTAATCGTTTTCTTTTCAGTTCTGGGTTTTGGCATTGCTAGGTGTTTCGAAAATGGCGATTGCTGCAAGGATGTCTGTGGGTTCGCGACAAACTGTAGATCTATCTGTTCGTCGGGCTGTACAGCTTGACTCACATCCGGCAGTGCAACTTGCTGCACTTCCGGTAGTGCAACTTGCTTTACTACTGGTTGTACAGCTTGTTGCACATCCGACTGTACATTTTGCTGTATTTCCGGTTTTACAGCTTGCTGCACGTCCGACTGTACAGTTTTCTGCACATCCGACAGCACAGTTTGCTGCACTTCCGGTTGTACAGCTTGCTGCACGTCCGACTGTACAGTTTGCTGCACTTCCGGTTGTACAGCTTGCTGCACGTCCGACTGTACAGTTTGCTGCACTTCCGGTTGTACAGCTTGCTGCACGTCCGACTGTACAGTTTGCTGCACTTCCGGTTGTACAGCTTGCTGCACGTCTGACTGTACAGTTTGCTGCACTTCCTGTTGTACAGCTTGTTGCACGTCCGGCTGAACATCTGGAAGCAAGTCAGGCTGCACATTTATTTGACCTCCAGCAGGTGAAGCTTTTGGTGCATTAAGCTTTGAGCTGTAGATTGTCGATGGTTCCATTTTTGCTGTTTTCAGAACAATGTTTTGGTGTGTTAAGTTTTGAGCTGTAGATTGTCAATGGCTTCATTTTTGCTGTTTTCAGAACAATGTCTCTATTTAAAGGGAAAAGGCCAGCATACTTAAATGCCAATATTGCGTTCTCAGTGCTGGCTGACCATTCCCAGGCGCCCTTAAATACTTGAGCAAATGTCCTCTTCGTAACTGTATTCGGGATATTCTCAATTTGAAAATTTCTCACAGCCTGACTCCAGTTTTCTTTTAATACCCCGAAAACCCGAAGATCAAGCGGCTGTATCAAGTGTGAGGCGTGCTCAAGTAGACAAAACACGTGAATGCCATTTGCCTTACACACATCCGACACCTCTAAAGTCACATGTGTTGAGTGGCCGTCAACCAATAGTAAGATTGGACGTTTGACTTGACGCTCGTCTAAGAAGGGTATAAATACGTCCGTTATCCAGGTCAAAAATAATTCAGACTCCATCCACCCATTCGGAGAACGACCTATTGCAGCCTCCTGAAAACCTTCAAGAATATCAGCCCTCACACGCTCGCCAGGATATACAATCATTGGCTTTATGTAGTGTCCAATAGCACTAACACAGGCCAACACAGTAATTTGAGTTTTATTACTACTTGTACAGTTATAAACATTTTTTTCCCCTTTCATGGCAATGATTCGTCCACTTTTAGGACATAGAGGAAACCCGGACTCGTCAGCATTATACAAACGAGACGGATCAGACAACAGACATGGGTCATTCAATTCATTGTTTACAAAGAACTCTAACTCTGAGAACCAATTTGAGATTTTTGACGGCGTTATCACTGCTCTTTCTTTTCCGAGCTGCATGGGCGCTCTTTCCGTCAGCTCAGGGTGACGCTTGACGAAGCCCCTGTACCAATCTTTGCCGGGTCGATTGTCTTTAAAGGGCGTCTTACGACCATCGTCATCAAGGATCTTCTTTACCGTGGTCAACAGTTCCTGCCTCGTCCTTCCATAGCCGATCCTGGACATGCTGACTGCCCATTCTGCCAGGCGGGTCTCCTCAGCCGGCGAGAGGACAGTGCGGGGACCTGTTTTGTTTGTTGCGTATCTTCCCTAAAACAAGTAGGAGTGTGATATGAACAAGGATAATAAACAATAGTGCACTGAGAACCATTTCATCACTTATAAAATTAATCTTTTACTGTCATTTATATAACAATAATGATTAAACGACATTTAAATGGCGTTTTAACAAATCAAATTACTAGCTAGAATTTGGAATTATATAAACTGGCCTGCTTTGTTCGCAAACTACAATGACCCGATGAAACGTACTTATTGATTCATAAAATTGTTCTAAATACCTTGATTTTATCATGCAGAGTCGTTTTCGGTATCCCGTACGACTTGGCCGCACAACTTAACGTAAGGCTCCCACCCTGAACAAGCTTGGCAGCCTCTGCCAGCACATCCGGGGTATAAGACTTTGCACCGATAGAACGGCTCATGTTACCTGTAAGATATGAATGAATGAATGAATTTATTAATTTTTCATTCATTAACCAGCTTGTTTGATTGTTTAATTTATTTATTGATTGATTATTTATAAATTTATCTATTTATTATTTATTTATTTATTCATTTAGATCTATTTATTTATAATTTACAAAAACTATTAAATACAAATTAGAGTCCTCTAGCTTTTTTATTGATGTTTGTGTTTTCTTATTTGTTCGGAATTAGACCCTAGGTTAAAAAGTGAGAGGATAATTCCGAACAACCACGTGGCATGATCTACGTCTGTCAATTCTAGAACATTCTAATTTAAATGGGTGGGAAAGGGATACATCTACATACTTTCATACATGTTTACATTTAGACACAAAATACAAAACTTGCATCGCTTATCTACGTCAGCAGTCTCCTTAGCATGTACCGCTAAATTTATGACAAAATTTATAGGACTTACCTCGATGATATCTTCCGCTTTTAAAGATGACAGGACAACCTTGGAATTGTAAACAACCGGAAGCAAACAATAATGTTCAAATATTTCGCGCCAAAAAACTTTAAAAAACGCAACCTTACTGTTATTTTTACGACCGCATATATATTGTTCGGAAATAGACATCGTTCGGCAAATGACGACCCCGCTCTATGTCATTCTGGATCCATTATTCGATATAATAAAAACAACACTTTCTCTCATTTTAGATTACGATCACAAGAAGCAGAACCTTCTCTTGTTAATACCTATTACCTATCAATCTAAAAGTAGGGGGAGCATTCCTTCAATATATCAATTACAAAGGTTAACATATTATATCAGGTGATTACAGGAACATACTTTATACTAATACCCTGTTAGTTATTAATACATTAAAGCTGCATGCCTCTGAATGAGCCAAGAAAATAAATAAAACATGACAAAAATCTACTAAGATGTTAAGAAAAGTAATAAGATTTAAGATTCAAGTAAACATTTACATGTTATGTGCGATCTGCAGTATATATAAATGTTTTTCATCTCCGTTATTAACGCAGTTAAAGCGTTTTTTGCTTATTTTGACCTCTGTTTGGTAATTAAAGTATATTGCAAGTGTTACTTGCAATGCACAAATTATTTTCTTTGTTGATTTTTCAATATCTAACTGTAAAATACATTTTAAAATTTTTCATGAAAATTAGCATGAATCTGGAGGCATGCTGCTCTTTAAAGATCAAAATTATGACTGTCTGAATTTTTTTTTTTTTTTTTTTTTAATGCGTTTATTTAAGGTCGCCGCCGGAAAGCCCATATGGGCGACCGTACACTCAAGTCGGGCCATCCTAGAGCGTCCCGCTGAGATTTTTTCGTCGATTTTTTTCCATCTTTTATTGGTGGAGGAAGACCCCAGGTGACCCCAGGTGCCCCTCCGGGCATTATTTCAGGCACGAGCGGGCACCCGGGTAGAACCACCGACCTTCCGTAAGCCATGGATGGCTTCCTCACATGAAAGATTTCGACCCAAGTGAGGATCGAACCTACAGCTGTCTGAATATCACACTTGCAAAACTTATATATGTAAATAATTATGCAAATAAAACAATTTTCAAACATCAAAGGATATGTAAAATGTGTACTGCAAATATTTGTGCACATTATATTTAATCAATCATTTACATGCATTCTTTTCTTATTGGAAAATTTGACTTAGAATTTATGGGAAAAAAATTTCTAATTACCTCCCTTTATTTACATGAAATGTTATATTGGGTAATATCTTCATAAATAATGCTTATTTGAACTTACAATATTGACAAATCTTAATTTGAGCATCATATTTATGAAATAAAACCATGAAAAAAATGTGTTACAGGATCTTTAAGTATGTTATATACTGGCATGTGATCGTTTTCTACATAATTATTATCTCTGTCTCTACCTTTTGATAAATATTTATAATAACGGACGTTTTAGTGTTTTTTTTTTCAAATCCGATTTGTACTGGACAACTGTGACAAGAATACTATCTTTATGTACGGCTGCTGCAAATTATGCTTTCATTTTTAGTTGATATTTATTGCCTGGATAAATGTGTAATGGCTGTATGATTTATATCATGTTACAGACGGTTTTATTGAGTAACATGACCTGTTAAAATGAGCAAATGAGCAACCCTAAGTGATAAATTACCATCGCTAATGTACGCCAACTATTATACAAGTCTCTCAAGTTCGAGCGTATCTTAAGAAATAAGTAATTCATAAGCTTAGTATATCGCCCACCTCCCCCCATAAAAAAGAAAATCCCACAAAAATTTGTGGGTTAAACCAAGGGGTATAATTCTCTAAAAATAACACAAATTATTATATCAAAATGAAAAAAAAAAATGAACACAACTACTATTTTATCACAATGCCACTTTTATAGGCTATCTCATATGCTCCTAGAGTTCTATAGGCCTCAGGTATTACTCAAAGTGTGATCTTAACATTTTTGTTTTATTTCTGTTCAAAAAATTTATTTCCCACGTCATGCAGTTAATACACACATAACGTTTAAACGTCTTGAAGCTGCTCATTTTTTATGTACTTATTTTTTATATTACTATTTTTATGTATAACAGATCTACATGGCACGTAAAAGTGTAACAAGGTTACTGTAACTAGTTTTCGAAGAAAAGTAGGCTGTTTAAGTGCATTATAAATTGTATTTATAGTTTGATAAATAGTTTCATGTAATTAATATCTACTAGGCATTTTTGAGGTTTTAAGTTTACTGGTAAATCACATGCATTCATTTTTGTTCTGCGCATTAAATTTTTGTAATTTAAACTGAAAAAAAAAGAATTAAGTGTCTGCGATTCAAAAAGAAGGTAAAAGTTAATTTTGGTCAAATTTATTTGATATGTTGTTTTACTTTATGACATCTATTATCTCGGACTATTATCTCGGACTAAAACGTTTCATTATATAGCGTTAAGTGTAAATCATAGCACGATAATTAGATTTTAAATCAAATAATCTTTTTTGGAAGATATAAGTCATGCAATTGATGGTAATTAATAAAAGAATATTACGGTATAATATAGCATTAAAATAATTTGTTCATGTTAAAATACTACATAAAAGTTAAAACACAACATAATTGGTTAAATATATATCAAAAGCATTTCCATACCTCTATTTATTATTTAAATTGCATCATAAGTCGTATCATACTTTATTGAAATAGAAGGAAAGTAAACCGTGAAAACACGGAGTTTCTAAACGGCAAACATCAAAATGTTGATTAAGTACAAGATATCGTCAACGCACCGTAGCAGCGACTTAGCAAAATTCAAAATTTCATTAGCATGTACTGGTGAAATTTTGAATTAGGAGACCTACGCTCAAAGAACCAGCATGCATTTTTCATTCTTATTATCAAAAGAAACCCATAATATTTGCCATTATAATGATTTAATGTTCTAGTTAAGAAACCACCATCTTATTTTTTATAAGGAGAAAAGTTTTTTTCCTGTGACTTCCTAGTGTATTCATTCTGAGGACAATTACAGAATAATAAATGAAAATTTTGCCTGTGTCTTCCTTTCATGGTGATTGACCTATAATTGATAACGACAAATGTTTTGAATAAACATTACAACTGCCTAAATATAAAAAGACTGTGCCACTCATTTTATACATTTGACGTAGTAAATATGTTCAAAAGGACATTTATTTAGTTCAAGTGTGTTATTGACACACATGCAAGAACACACACACGCGCGCGCACACACACATACACACAAACATTAACCTATCTTAATCTAAGCAAAAGCTGACGTGTAATTACATACGCAAAAAAACAAACATTTTTAACGAATAATAATAACAAGTATTTTATTGAAAGTATAGATATTTTATCGGCTCATATCTGTGATTTATTGAATGTTATTTTAAATTCGGGAATGGAATGGAACAGGGTATTATAATCCCTTTACACAAAAAAGTTGTCACGATGACGTTTATAATTACAGAGGTATTACTCTTGTTAGTTGTATGTCACAATTGTTTACTACTGTTATTAATAATCGCATTGAGAAATTTTGTAACGAACATAACACTATTTCGTATGCTCAATTCGGATAACATAAAGGAGAGTCTTCTGTAGATGCTATATTTTTACTTGAAAATAAAAGATTTTATGTTATTTTTGTTGATATGATGAAGTGTTTTGATTATATTGATAGAAATGGTTAAAAAAGTATAATTTTGGAATAACTTGGAATTGTGAAGAATGGTTCGTGATATGTACCAGAAAATTAAGTCTTGTTTTAAACTTTGTTCAAATTATTCTGAATATTTCCAATATGCTGTTGGTCTTCGTCAAGGGGAGTTCATGTCCCCTCTTCTATTTTCAATTTTTGTAGAAGACACCGAATTGTATCTTCAAAACAATCCCGACTCAGGTTTAATATTAGATGATATTGTTTTAATACTCTTACTTTTTGCAGACGATATGGCAATTTAAGGCAAAAACCCTTAAGAGATACAGGAACTATTAGATTTTTTGCATTTATATTGTAAAAACTGTGGCCTTAAAGTAAATACAACAACAAATAAAATAATGGTATTTAGAAAAAAAGAGGTCGTATTTTACCAACTGAGCAATGGAACTGTAATAGCCAAAATATTGAAGTAGTAAATGATTTAATAATCTTGGGACAGTTTTTAATTATACGGACAATTTTATATTAAATTAGAAATATTTGAGTGGTAAAGCTTTAAGGCAATGAATGTACTTCTTTGTAAATTGAGAAGAGAATTTGACCTTTCTCCCAGAACATTATGTCAGTTATTTGACTCATTTGTTTCATCGATATTAAATTATACATGTGTACGAAGTCTGAAGAGCTAGAAAGAATACATTTGAAATTTTGTAAACGGTTATTAAGAGTTTACCCTAACACTTGTAATGCTAGTGTATACGATGAATTGGGAAGATATACCTTATATTATATTATTATATTCATAGGTTTGTAAAAATAATAAAATACTGGTTAAAAATTGAAGAAACTGATAACATAATCCTTAAAACAGTATAAAATCAAGCTGTAGATGATAGCAACAATGGTCATAAAAATTGGATTTCAAATGTAAGAAAGCTTTTGAATGATTATGGAATTTCATATGTATATATCATTATATATTTCATCATGTTAATACTATTGAAAAAAAAAATTTTCATATGAATTTAGAAGTCGTATTGTTGATTCTTTTAAACAGGAATGATATGCTACTTTAGATAATAGTTCTGTATTGTATAATGTACAAAAATGTTAAATGTAGTTTTGAGTATGAACTTTACTTAGATATCTTAGATTTTATTTCTGTAAATTA